ATATGAGCAATGATTCACTCTGTTATTCTCAAGGCTTCAGTGATTCACAATTAATTGAATATTATAAAGTGTTATTTATGCATGTCCCGATAATTTATTAAATGTGGTTGTACAAAATAACTTTAAGGATTCATTTTATTTTTCCTAGAATTTTAACAAAAAAATTTTGAGTATAAAAAATTATCCAAGCTTGAACTCATCTATATTATAATTAGTTTTTAGAATTCAAATGTGAGCATTAAAATAATTTCAAAAAAAATATGCTAATTATTTGTAAATTTTGGTAATATTGTGAATAATCTATAATTTGGATAAAATCACACATTTCAAATTAGATTCAGTGTTGTGATATTGGCATTTCCAAAAAAAAAAAATAATGGAAAAACTTCGTTTATTAGTTAAAAAGGTCTATATGCTACTCCGTCAATCCGTCTGTTTAGGCGATTCTGTAGATGAGTTTGACATATGTAAATCTGAAACAAAATTTTGAATTGATTTTTCAATTAAAAATTTAAAGTTCTTACAGAAAAACAGAAATTTTGTGATTTCTTCAATAAAATTTACCTTATATGCTATAAGATTTGTCTTGATATCAGCTTGACTCAAATTATGTAAAAAATATTGAAAGTACCTACAAAAGCTTAGATTATTTCAAACCGAAATAGTAATAGATATGAAGGAACTTAAAAACTTCTTTTGTATTCCGGTAGATCTTCATATTTAATAAACATTGACCAACTACAATTAATTTATTCAAAGTTATTTAAAAAATTGTTTATGACTGCTTCGGACAAATTATCAATATGGGGTGGTGACACTGTTTATTATCAATAAGAGCTGACAATAAGAGAAATTTGAAAATTTTTTTGTTATGAATTACATAAGAGATTACTGTATGATGCGACTGTGATATTCTCCATTTTAAAATCTTCAACATAAATTGGGGTGATTAAGCTTTGTCTTCGAAATGTTGATTTATTTTTTATTAAAATGAAATTACCAAAAATTATTCCAGATCCTGATAATTGTATCATTTAAGGGCCACTTATATTACAATTCAATACCAATTTTAATATAGTCTTAATTAAACCAAACAGGGGTCGTTCAAATATTTTACGTTTAATAAAATAATTTAAAATAAATTTTATAAAATGCAAATTCTGGATTCAAAATTGTGCATGTTCTGTTTTATTGGAAGTCTAAAGTATAATAGTTTTTGCATAAGTAGGAACACAATAAAAATTCTGCAAAATTTTCAATTATCTGCAATGAAATTTTTACATATTTTGTTATTTATAAAAATCTTAAAAGAATATGAAACTTATTCGAATTATAGTAAAAATAAAATGAAGAATATTAAAATTTGAATATCATTTCATCAAAATTTCTACAGTAATTGTATTTTATACTATTAAAGTATTCTTTTATTCTCATTTTTATTCAAATATTATGCAAAACTATATTTAATTCATAAAGATATTCATTCAGGTCAACGTACGATGAGATTTTCATTAAAATTCATTTAGAATAGATAAAAATTTTCTTAAATTATTCAAATAATCTTAAGCATAAATATGCAAATATTTTAAAATTTTAAAGACCCATTAGAGAATAGTTTAACTTATTAAGTTCAACGGGTAGAATGTGACTAGAACATTGCATACTCCGTCTGATTTTTCGAGTACAAATGTAAAAAATTATTGAATTTTAAAAAAATCTTGAAATGCATATTTGGTTTAGTGCAACAATCTTTGAGTTTAGTGGATTTTTGATAATTCAGATATGCACCTAACTGCCAAGTTCGAACTCTATCATTTCAGATCTATAGACTTGTTTGCTTTTTCAGATTTTTAATATCTTACATTCCTGTATGTGATTTTTTCCAAACTCAAAGTATTATTGCAACATCTAATAAAAATTTTAAATATATAATTTTCGAAGGTGCCTCTTTTGCAGTAGAGATTTATCGAACATGCTTAATATTAAGATTCAAGTTTGAACTGAATTTTCGATTGTCCACTTACATAAAGCAAATTGTTATTTTAACTCAATTCAGATGTCAATTTTCGTCTATAAACTGGATCAAATTTAAAAATTATTCTACGACAATTTGAAGCTCATGTTGCGACAAAAATTGTAGTAAAACTTCTATTAGACTGTCATCAATAAAAACTGAACAAAAATAGAATACAATTTTAAAAAGCTGGCATAAAATTTATTTAATCCCTCATCATTAACTTACTACTTGTATTCTGTTCCACATCATTAGTAAAATTGTTTATTTCTTTTCAACTATTCGCAGAATGAAAAAAATATGAATGATTTAGCAAATAGGCGAGACACAACTAACCCCATTCGAATCAATGATTTGCTAAAATTTATAGAATAGTTTTTATAAAAAAATAAAATAAAAATAAAGGAGACTATAAAAAGTAAAATTTTACTTTCCATTTTTGTTATCAACTTCACCCCTATCGTCATCATCGGGAATAAGAAAAACAACACACAAGAATATAAAAATTTCACTAGCCACAATTCCATCCTCTTAAGTTTTCTGTGTTTTTAAATGAAAAATGACTTTTTTTTAATATCCACGAAAAATTTTACTGTTTGTATAAAGTGGGAGTGATAAAGTAAAAAATCGTTTATAGTGAAATAAATTTTCAAAGTAAACTCACAACAGCATACACAAATGTATACATATAGAGGTGTTTAGACAGTTAATTCAAAAGTCATTTGCAAAAGTGTAGTGTAGTATGCATAAAAAACCACTGAAGTTAATTATTCAATTCAAATATTCTAGACATAATCATAAACTCAGTAAAGTGGGTCACTTATACAAAAACCAAGGAAAACTGCAAGAAAACACATTTCGTTTTCCAAATTTACAGTAATTTATAAATGTCAGAAAGATTTCACTTATATTGTTGTTTTTCCCGACTCATTTTACCTATGTATTTGTAAAAATTAATGATTAAATTGTTGAAAAACTTGAGTATATGGGAACAACAATAGATTTATAGAATAATTCAATTTAAATTTGAATTCGAATTAAATTTAAAAATTAGAACACAAAATTTTGTCAAATTTTTTGCAATGAGGGAGAATCAACTTTTTGAGTGTTCGCACGAGTATCTTCGCAATATCCCCTCGCTCGTAGGAAAAAGGAAATACTGGGAACTTTGCGTTCATAGGGGCGTAATTACGGATTTTTGGGTCTCGAACGCTGCTCGAGCTCATCAGAAGAGTGAATTTCGAGCGGATGCTGTAAAGAAATGCCCTGAACTCAGAGAAGAGGGGCCATTAGATCCATATAGAATTGTACAAATATAAAATCTACAATCCCAATCGTTATAAAACAAAAATTTTTTTCGAAAATAGCAAGAACGAACGATGCATCATCCTTTGAAGTTCATGTCATATTAATTATAATTTACAATTATTAAAAAAAAAAATCTAAGTCACCTTTAAAAGAGTTACTCATTGTTAAAATTTTGTTTTTTTTTTTCGAATTTTAATTTCGCATATCGCTTTATTTATTTTATTCTTAATTTTCTCAAACGTTTTATAAATAAAACAAAATTACAAATATTTGAACAGCTATTACAAATTTAAAGTTTAGTCATAATTAAAAGTTATAAAAGCAAAGTGAGTTGAAATTATGAGTAAACAGCAATTAATAATTATAAACTGAATGTATGTACCTACGTACGTGATAAGATAAAAAAATTATCTAACCTCAACCATGGACCATAAAATATGTACATATGTATGTTATGAAATTGAATGTTACAATCTTTTAATATTTTTAAATTTATTAAGACAAAGTTGGTATTACAAAGTTTCTTATGACAAATAGTTTTAGAAGAGATAATGATAAATGAATTGAACTAAGAGGGTTTTTAATGAGCAAATATTATTGCAATTACATGTCTCACAAAACGGGGTTCACAATTAATTCGTACTCTCTTTAAAATTGGTATATGGAAGCAATATGGAAGAGTTTTGTTATAATTTAAACTGTATTTTAAATTTCCTCACAATTATGGGAAACTTACGAATTTCTTGTATTTTTAATGTTTGGCAACCATATCTATTAAAAATATAGTTTCTTTTACGAATTTTGCCCTTTTAAGCCTAAATTAAACAATAATTAACCCCTATTCAAATTTTTGTTACTGTCCTTCATCATACTATTTCATATAAATGGGGTGTTTTGCTTGTACTATTTAGGTAATTGATATTTTATTTTAACAATAATAGTTTTATTTCTATAACAATAAATTCAATAAATTTGGGATCTAATCCATTATTCAAAAACTTCTCAAGTTCCTATGCAGGTACATAATACATACTTTACGAATTTGTATATTTTATCATGTTAACAATATTATTATTGAGTATTTCAATAGATGGTAACCTGAGATTTTTTTAATAAATTGTAATAATATTGAACCCGACGGTAATTTAAAAGACTATAAGCCTATTCTTCAAAAATAAATAGTTACCTATGTCATAGAAGATTCTAAATAATACAGGGGATTTTATTTTACTTCTTAATTAAAAAAGAAATGAAAAAAATTTAAGAAAATTGAATAAAAATTGAATTTCTTAAATTTCGTTAAATTACGGTCGGCAGGCAATCCTTCTATATTAACAGAAATTGACAACATAACTAAAGTTCTGTCAAAACATAAGTGAGTTCTTAATGCTAATGATCAGCAATTACTTTCAATTGAAGATGTCAATTGAAAAAAGTTACATAATTTTTAACAAGAATTTCTCCAACAATATCGTCCACATATGACTTTTCAACTCACTCTAGTATTACAGAATTTTCAATTGCTAAAAAAAGAAAATTATTGTTTCATGAACTTAATCAAATTATCATAGATTTTTATGAATTTCAGAAACTTCATTTAGTTAAAAAAAAAAATATTTTCAATTGTCAAATGAAAACTTACATTAAAAATAAATCAATAAAATAACAAAATTCTAATATGTCATATTTTTGTACCGATCCAAAACAAAACCCTCAACGTTATTCAAAATTTCCAAAAAACTTTTTTGTAACACCTGGTCGTAAATATTACCCAAATCCAGGAACAATTAATAATATACATAAAAAAGTTTTCGACATTATTCCACATTACCTTGATGGTGTTGAATTATGGATGAAAAAAGGATTGGCACCAAATAAAACTCTAATTACAAATTGGACACTCAGTCATACAACTCCATCGGAATTTCATATTGGCGGAATATATAATTGGCGATGCCGAGGTAATATATTGGTAGGTTTTAAATAAAATAAAAATTCAATATTATAACCGTTAAAATATTTTTAGGAAACACCAACAATTGAATGTAATATTAACCCAAGTACTTTGACATCAAATTTTAAATTGACTTATTATCCAATATCATCATTTAAAATTGAAAGTCAATTTTCACATATCGGTAATGAAAATTTTAAAACTTTAGGAATACAAAATGTCACATCTCTAGAATATACTAAACCATATTCTACTACAAATTTTTGCTTATATGATCCAAAAAAGGAGGCTGGACAATTAACTGTATCATATTTGAGAAGTGTTACAAAAAAATTGGCATTAGGCTCTGAATTTTTTTTTGAATGGTTGAATAAAGGCATAACAACAAAAATAGCTTTAGCTGCAAAGTATAAAATTTTTTTGATACTAATTCACAATGAACCTGTTCGTTCATTTTTCTTTCCAATTAGATATAATGAAAATAAACGAGCAATAGCTGGAACGATAACTATAGACGCTTTAGATCTAAGTTATTGGCATCAAATTCATAAATCAATACAAATGGGTACTTTATTTGCTTTCAATAGATGTAGTAAAAAAGCTTATGGAGCATTATGTTATCAATATGATTTTAATAGTGGAACAACAATTCGTGGTATGATAGATTCAGATTGCTCAGTAGGTTTCATGTATGAGAGGTCAGTTTTTGAATATCAAAAAAAAAATTTTATATTTTGCGGTTATTTACAAAAACAATTCTTATTTTAGATCTTCAATGACGATGCCATGTCTTATGGGATTTAATTTATTATTTTGTATACCAACTGGTCGTTTTACAATTGGATTAAAATTGAATTTTGATCCTACTATACGTTGTAATACAAAATAAATGTTTGATTTATAAAGACAAGACTGCAAATGTTTTAGTGTATTTAATTCCATTTTTAATAATTTTTGAAAATTTTTGTTTTCGTCTTTAATTAGTTTATCGAAAACATTGGAAAGTCTCACAATTTCAATATATAAAAGAATTTACAAAAATATTTTTTCTAATTTTAAGTCATAAGATATTTCAAGCATATGGTCTCTCTACACTGTCCCATTCAAACAAAAACAAGAATATTATAAATTATTATAACAAAATCAAAGTACCATTGTATTAAAACATCTGTTTTCACCAATACTAACTTATACAAAAATCATTCATTCATACTTCATTCCACTGCCTACTAAAAATTTAATAACCACGTGACACAATTTACAGTGTTGTAGGAATATTTTCACGTTTACGCACACCATCATAATATTCTCAATGGATTTGTTTTGTTTACATTTTTAATTTCATTCAATTTCAATTTCATTCAACTTTCAATTTATTTCAGTTTCTCTCAATTCTCTTTTTTATTGAATTTGAATTTTGTATGAGTTGTGTATTAGAGAACGGTATTTTTAATGTTTGAATGAATCATACATAATACATAATACAAAAATTTTGTGAATTTTTGCATGATGCGATATTTTAGCAAAACACAAACACAATAACAGTATTGAAAATATAACATTCTATTTGAAATAAAAATTTTCTTTTATATTTTCAACTGTACTGTGCTGTTGCTGTCTGGTCGTTGGTGTAGTCTTTGAAAATTCACTTTTCTCAATTTAGTATTCATCGGAGCTTTTAATTTGCCGGTTTATTGTGCACGGGATAAAAAAGAAAATTTTTTGTTTTTTTTTTTGCTAAAATTATAGAGAGAAAAGAAAAATAAATAGAATTTTTTTTTTTATTTTAAAATTTTGCGAAATAGAAATTTTTTCAAAAATTTTATTTTTTTTTTTTTGGTTTTTTTTTGGTACTCGTATTTAAATTTCAAATAATAAAAATTTTTGGTGCTAAAATAAAAATTTCTTTTCAAAGAGAATATTAATTCAAGTTCCTTAATTCAAGTTTATAACATAAAGGTTCTTTTTTACATAATTATTTAAATTTTAATATTTTTTTTTTAAATAAAGAAGAGAGAATAATTTAAATAATTAATTTTGTTTCAAAACGCTTTAAAATTTCAAAATAATTAAATCGCTTGTTTTTTGATTTTTAATAATAACAAAATAATAATAATTATATTCTTTACCTGAAGTAATTCTAAAATTATACCTGTAGTTTTTCATTTTCGAATTAAAAATAGAACAAAGTAAAAAGAGAAAAGAAAAAAAAATAGAAAAATTAATATTAAATTTCATGAATATTGCGTTAATTAATGAGCTTATTTACCGTTAATACTATTATTTCTATTTGCATATGTATGTATAATAATAATGTTACATATATAGCTATATAAAAATATTATTCACTTATGCTGTTTAGCTTTTGTGCGTGAACAATATTTTAATAGTGTGTGCTAAAAAAAAAAATTTATATAAGAGGAAGAAGAAGAAGAAGAAGAATAAAATTAATTCTTTGGTGTATTTGTTGATTTTTGTTCTATATAGCGTAGTATAGAGTGGTGTCGTTGACTAAAACGAAAAAAAAAAAATCAAAAATAAACGTGGGACAGTTTATTTTTTTTTTTTGTTTTATTAATTTATTTTTAAATATATAGAATTATTAAAACTAGTGTATATTTTCTCCTTGAAAATTAAACACAATAATAATAACACACAAAATATTTTTAAAATCAGTGAAAATTTCAGTATTGGAATAATAGAAAAGAAAAAAAGAATAACAACAACAACAACAACAACAAAGGTATAGATAACGTGATGTCATATCACTACTTATTTTTTTTTGATAATTTTACTACTTAAAATTCGTACATGTAAAAAATTTTTACTATAATTAGTTTCAGTTTTTTATTATTGTTTTTTTTATGTTGTCTCTTAACAGGTATTTTAGAATAGTTAATTTTGGATTTTAAATTGAGGTAAAAAACATGTTGAAAAATTCAATGTTTCAGCTTCTATTTTAAATTTGTACTACTCAGGTATATGTAATCATTTTACCTGTTTTAATAATTACCTGTATTCGTTATAATTATATAGAATGTCTAAATGAATAATTGTGCGTGTAATTTAATTTCGGTATGATTGAGAATAATTTAAGTTCTATAATTAGTTTTGTAAAAATTCTTCTATTTGTTCCAACTTAAATTATAATTACAATTAATTTTATTAAAATAAAATTAGTGTTTTGTGTTCTGATAATGACATAAGCTCATTTATTTTATTGAAAGATTATAAAGAGAGACAATGTAATCGCAGTAATTATTTTTGGAATAGTTTCGAAGAATACGAGTAATACCTATGCCTATGATAATTTTTTTAATACAGAACTTATGTGGTTCATTTGATTACGGTATTTGATTAATTTTAATGGTAAAGAGAATGATATGAGTTTTAATTTATTTATTTACGGTAATCTCCCAAAATGCATATAATAAAAAAAATTGTTTAACCGATATTTTGTACGATAAAAGTGGAATTACACTATATGAGAACAATATTTGTTTGCGGGAAAAATAATTATGTTAAGTGAGAAAGAAGTGCGGCAAATGAGAAGACAAAAGAAAGAAAAAAACTATGACACAATGTAATAGAAGAGAATGATACTAAACTGACAGAGACATAGTTTCTGATTTTCATTGAATTTATTGATAATAATTTCTGTGGTAATTTTTTGAAAAACAAAATTATTTCATTAAAAATTCATTTAGATGTACTTTTAAAAATGTAAACTCCTTTCAATTAATACAAATAAATTTCTGTGTAAATTACATTGATATTTAAATAGTGTCACTTGTTATACTCAACACTCTATTGTTATTATGAAAAATAGCCGACAAAGGTCAAATTTAACAAAATATTTGAGTTAAAATGAGTGGAATTGTACTTTATATTTTATTGTCCTAAGCTAAAAATATTCTATATTCGCCAAAAATCTCGTTTTATAGGTAACACAGTGCTTGAACGCTCTTTAAAATACAATCATCATAATATTGTAAATAGTGTGCCACCTGTGTAGAATATATTGCATTTTGAAACTTTTAAAACATTCAATTTTATTGAATTAAAATGGTTTTTCTTAAAAATTAAAATTCTCAATAAAATATTAATTTTTGTAAGCAAACATATTATATTTTTAGTAAATTCACCTACTACTTAATTTCACCTAGGTATATTTTCAATAATCACAGGTGAACATTAATATTCAACATTCTTGCATATGCATGTTTGATTCTTAATATAATTTACAAGGGGTCAAGTGCAATTATTTTTATATTAAATTTATATTCTAATTCTTGTACCCATCCGTATTGTCTCTTAGTATTCTGGTCTGAAATTGTTTTATATAGTAATTAGTTACGGTATTATATTTAACTTTAAATTAGAACAAACAAAATAAAAACATAAAATTATTGTGAAAATTTAATGATTTAATATTAAAGGAGGGTGAACAAAATACTTAATTATTTAATTAAAAACAAAAAAGAAAATTATGTGTTAATGTTTATGTACCTTTAAATTAGCTGCATTCGTTATTTATAACAGGAAGCGGAAAAAATTGTACCCTTTAGGCATGTTAATTTGAAAGGTGGAATTAATAGTGATTTAAAATAAGAAAACGTAGGGAATTTATATTTAGTTTTTCCAGGGATCAATTTCGAGTAAGCCTCGAAATTTTGATTTTGCTGCTTCAAAATAAAAAAAATTTGCTGAATGTGATTAATATTTCAAATTATTTAGTATGCATATTTATTTATTGCATATTACAGTTCAAAAATGAGAAAAGTTGCTTTTTCGTTTATAAACAGTTAAACGAACTACATATACAAGAATTTATGATTACAAACTATAGCGGTTCTATTACTGCTCTTTTGAGCACATTTTCATTAAAAAAAGTATTTGAATTCTGCAAGAATGATTTTTGCCAAAGTGCTTACTATGCTCCTAACTTGCTCATGTTTTCAGAACCTACTTACTGGAACGATACATTTAACAGATTTATTTACAACTACAATTTATCTTTACTCAGACTGACTCCGTTTATCATGACGTCATTATTTTAAATCAGGTAAAAAAGAACCATAATAAAAAAAATTTAATATTCTCGTTCTCAAAGCTTTTAAATTAAGTAAATGTTTTTTTATACTTTCTGGCGCTAAAAATTTTTTTTATAGATAATTAAAAGTTGTCAATCAATATTTTCACTTTTATTTTTAATGAAAAATCTTTTTGAGTGAATTTTAAAAATTTAATAAAATAAAAAAAAAAATTTTTTTTTTTACTTTTCATTTAAAATTTTGTGATTTTTTCTAAAAAATATGCCAACGTTTTTGACATTTAATTTTAAACATAAATTTGAAATTAAAGTTCTCCTATGGGAGAATATTAAAATTTCATGAATGTCAATTTTTAGAGGTTATGGCACAGCATATTATTTTGACTAAATATATCAGTTTTGAAGACTCGCTTTATTTAATTACTTTTATTAAAATACTTTAAATACCAAAATGTCTTTAATAATTCAATTAAATTCGCTACATTAAATTCGCTACATTAAATACCGTTATATGGTGCTACTTAAGTGTTAATAAGTGTTGAAACACGAGAATATTAAGTGTACTTTCTTTAAAACAAGATTTTATACCACACAAGCAAACTAACTAACATTTAATCTTAAACTATTTTAGCAATGCGATAGTTCCCTTCTTATACAATGAGTATTATATGTTTTTCATAAAATCATTAAAAATCAGAAATAATTTCCATTAATTTCAAGCAGAATCCAACCATTCCATATTAATAATTATCAGTAATTAATTGAGATTTTGAAATTAATAACAATTATTTTTGATATACAAGTCACCAGGTTTGCTATAATATGAAAACCTTAAC